AGTGCAATGACATCAGCAGCGATATATCGACTGGAACATACAAACAGGGTAGGCAATTAATAGATTTGCAGATTAAATGAAAATGTATTACCATTGAATGTAAGTTTGTCTGTCGGGTGATGTTACTGACATAAGTGAGACTGGCTACCTATGCCTCTATTGGAAAGAAACTACCAAGCCCTTACCCACACACAAGTGAGAAGCATTTACCTCCCCCCAACAAATGAGGAATCTAGCAACATACAGATGTAGCCTCTTTGTCTAGTAATGGACTAACCAACTCTGCTCTGTCTAAACATCTTCAGAGAAACCTAATCTTCCTCTGCTACAAGGATTGGTACTGTAAATATTTTTTTTAGGTGGTAAAATATTCAAGAGTCCACATAATTACTTATGAATCATATGATCTGGAATAGACACATTCTGTTAAATGGTAATGTGTATGTTTTGTTATGTTTAGGAGTTACCACCAAAGAAAAAGCTAATACTGGAGGAAGCGCAGGAGCTGAGCGCAAATCATTACAAGAAGTATACCGAAAGGCTGCGTTCCATTAACCCGCCGTGTGTGCCTTTTTTTGGTGAGTGTTTAGACACACACAAGAATGTTAAACCCTAGCACCATGTAAATGGTATTAAATACGTAATGTATCAGTAAAGACTAGCAAAAAACTTTTTTTAAACATATATTTATAGAGGGGTGACCCAGCGTATCCTAGAAGGTCGGCTGATTTTTCCACCTCCCCTTCCCCTTCACATCCAACAGCAAGTACACTCGCCACTTACAGGATGAGAATGATGCTTTATAAATTAAGCCTATTTATGAGGCTTAGGGAGTGGAGTTGTTTTTCGATTGTGAACTAAAGTCCCGCTGTGACAGGAATTGAACCTAGGATCCTGGGATCTGAAGGCAAGCATCTTAACCACTGAGCTATTCAACTGCAATCCAAACTATCAATTAACCTCCTTGATCCGAATTGAACTTCTTCTATATTATCTAGGAATGTATTTAACGAACATTCTAAAGACAGAGGAGGGTAATCCTGACTTCCTGCCAGACTCCTATGATCTGATAAACTTCAGCAAGAGACGACGGGTGGCAGAAATTACGGGTGAGATTCAGCAGTACCAGAATCAACCTTACTGTCTCATGGTTGAGAAGAATATCAGGGTGAGTAAATCAGTCACCTGGAAAATAAATTAAATTTTTGGTTTATTTTTAACTATTTTCAAGTGTTGTATATTTAGAAATATATGTTATAGAATTGTATGACTTTGTGTTTATTTCCTGATTATGATGCAGTAAATATTAGATCATTGCAGCTGCGTGTGTTGAATGTATTAAAATATATTTTATTCGTTAGTAATAATAATAATAATAATAATATAGGCTTTTATATAGAGCTCTATACAACTAAAGTTACGTTCAGACTTGGAGATAAGCCAGGCTTACATTGTGCCCGGCTCTAGGTTAAGCCCAGCTTAACTTTGCTGGGCGTTCAAACTAGCGGGATTAGCCAGGTGAGAGTATTTGCATATTAATGAACCATAACCAGGAAACGAGTTTCGAAACATTGCGCTTGAAATGTACGCTCGCTCACAGAACATGTAATTGAATGCTGATTGGTCATTTTTAGTTCCTATGCATGTAATGCAATAGGAACTATTGTAATCACTCTTGCTATTTCCTATG